GACGTGCTAGGCCCATCGTTGGACTTGCATGGAAATACATCTTCAAAGAATGAGGCATTCCTTGATTCAATTATTGTGTTTTTATGTACATCCGGATTATTCGAATCGAACACTAAAAACTGATAAGCACTACTATTTTGTGCATACCCAATAAAAATACAATCCACCGTTTTTGGACCTATTTTTATTTTCTTAGGTGTTGGTACAAGCACCTTAGCAAGACACCCCCACACTTTTAAATATTGATAGGAAGGCCGTCTGCCTTTCCACAACTCGTACGGAGTTTTATCATATTTTTTCCGGGGAACCTTATTTAAAAGGTAATTGCTTGTCAAGATTGCTTCGCCCCACATATTCTGTGGCAAGCCCGAACTTACTAGCATCGCGTTCATCATATCTTTCAATGTGCGATTCTTTCGTTTGGCAACACCGTTTGATTGAGGTGAATAGGGTGCGGTACGTTCGTGTACTATACCCACACTAGCGCAAAAGTCACCAATTGGTGCTTCATACTCACCACCTCGATCACTCCTAACCGTCTTAATCCGTCGATTAAGTTGGTTTTCCACTTCATTCTTATAAAGAATGAATTTATCGATTGCTTCGTGTTTATTTTTTAATAAATAAACGTAGCTATAGCGAGTGCTATCATCGATAAAGGTAATAAAATATTTATTACCGCCACGTGTTTGTATTGATTTAAAATCACAAACGTCACTATGAATTAATTCAAGTGGTTCCGTTTTTCTTTCAACTGATTTGAAAGACGTTTTCGCTAGTTTTGCCTCTACACAAACTCCACATTTGTGCTTCACATCAATTGTGAATTTAGGAATGTGCTCCATGTTAATTAATCTACGTATAGAATTAAAATTAACATGTCCTAGTCTACCATGCCACACATTAGAAGACTCAAGCAAGTAAGCAGAAGGGATTTTATTATTATTATTAATAATAGTCATTACATTGAGCTTAAAAAGCCCATCACATGTATATCCCTTACCCACATACATTCCCGACTTAGACAAAACCAGTTTGTCCGACTCAAAAACCATGCGAAAGCCATGCTTGTTCAACAACGAACCGGAAATCAGGTTTTTGCGTATTTCCGGAACGAACAAAACTTGGTTTAGAGTCAGCTCCTTGCCCGAAGTCATCTTCAGGATCACTTTGCCCACGCCTTCCACCGCGGAATGAGCAGAATTTCCCATCCACACCTTCTCACCATTTGATGGCTCAAAGGTCGTGAATAGCTCCCGGTTTGAGCAAATATGCCGGGTAGCACCGGTGTCCACGAACCACTCCTTGGAATTGGATCCAACGAGGTTGACCTCGGTCACCACAGCCGCAAGGATGATGTCTTCATCCTTTTGCCCACCTTGCACCAAGTTCACGTGAGAATCTTTCTTCTTCCTTGGTGCCTTGCAATCCGAGGACCTGTGTCCATTCTTGTTGCAATTGAAGCATTTTCCGTTGAACTTTGTCTTGGAAACGCCTCCCTTGGGATCGAGCTTGCTCTTCCCATTATTTTTATTTTTGGAGCCCTTTGCATGCTCCACCACATTTGCCTTGGCGCCATGAACAATTGGGAGTTTCCCATCGTTCTTCCGGTTATCCTCTTCAATCCGCAGACGGAGGATCAATTGCTCCAAGTTCATTTCCTTTCGCTTGTGCTTAAGGTAGTTCTTGAAATCCTTCCAAGCCGGCGGCAATAAATGAATAATTGACGCCACTTGGAATGACTCACTAACTGTCATTCCTTCATCTCGAATTTCGTTGAAGATCATTTGCATCTCCTCAACTTGACTCAAGACCGTCTTCGAATCCACCATTTTAAAGTCAAGGAATCGACCAACAACAAATTTCTTTGCGCCGGCATCCTCACTTTTATATTTGTGGTCCAAAGCATTCCATAGCTCCTTAGCCGTAGCTAATTTGCTATACACGTCGTACAAAGCATCATGCAGCCCGTTCAACACGTAGTTTCGGCAAAGGAAGTCAGAATGCTTCCAAGCTTCAACCGCGTTGAAAGATTGCGCATCCACCTCACCCCCGGTTGCTACCGGCGCATCTTCGGTCAAGAATCTAGCAAGACCGAGAGTAGTGAGGTAAAATAGCATCTTTTGCTGCCACCTCTTGAAGTTTAACCCATTGAACTTCTCGGGTTTCTCCACAGAGTTGCTTGGCACGGTCACCATAGGGATAGCCCTTTGGTTGGCCAAAGCAGATGCACCGCGTTGTGAACTATTGTTCACCGGTGCTCCGCTTTCAGAGTGATTGTCGTTCAGAACATTCTGCCCAACACCAATCTCGTTTTCTTGAGAAGTCATTTTCGTTCTTTAACGTTTTTCCGAAAACACAAAAATTAAGTTCGTTCACCAAAGTGACAAACTACGTTTTTAGATTGTATCCGTATGATACAAACCCTCCAAGGGGGTTCTGTTGGCTTCGGACAGAAGGCCTCGAACAGAAACCCTCCAAGGGAGTTCGGTTGGCTACGGACAGAACCCCTCCGAGGGGTGTTCTGTTGGCTTCGGACAGAACCCCTCCGGGGGGTGTTCTGTTGGGGTCTTCTGTCACGCATTTCTTCCGTTACAACAATTAATGCCCAACGTTCTTCTCTTTTAATGCAGCGTTAAATGGACAGTTTATGGACGATTCAATGCCCAACGGACTGGTCATTGATGTCCAACGTTCAGGTCCATTAACACCCCATTTAACACACAACAAATCCTCCTATAAATAGCTGGCAGGTGCTTTGCAACAAAAACACGGTTTGACAACGCACAACACTTTCCTCACGTTTTCTTGAGCTAAAAACTCTTCCAGCTATTCCCAAACTTCCTCTGTGTTCATACTTGGTTCTCGTTCGCTGGAACTCTTGTTTGTGTGCTCAAACACTAGTTCGTAGTCATCGTATCCTGGGAAACGATTGTTGCAACGCTCCTAGCACCGTGGGAGGCAACAAATACGTTTTAAGGAAATCGTGCGTAGCACGAGCTTTGGCTAATTCTGCTTCATCTCCTTTCTTGTTTTTCTCTAGTCATTTTATTTAATTAATTTATTTTAATTAATTTTCTTTATTTTCCGAAACACACCCAACAATCTCCAGTGTTCAGCCCGCGCACACAAGTCGCGGTTTTTCTTCTCCGTTTCGGGATTTGATCGACACCCCTCCCCTGCGCGTAAGAGAGAGCCTTTCCCTTTAGGAATCTTAACTCCTTAAAAGAGGCTTCCCTTTAAAAGGGGGTGAAAATCCCTTGAGTTTTTCGGTGTGGGATAAAACACACTAGAAACTCATCATTTTCCCAGTTTTTCCATTTCAACGAGCGAACTTCGAGAATCAATTTCTCATTCACCCGTTATCCGTTTTGAGCGTACCATATATCGAATTGTAGCCCTTAACAAGGACAATCCGAAACCACTTTGACCCGACCCAAATCGGAAGTGGACCCCACTCAAATAATTGCCCCAAAATGACCATTTAATGCAATTTTTTAACACATTTTTCCAACATATAGACCCGAGTGAAGTATATAAAATAAATTTTGTATGATAGAGTAATGTAAATTATACGTAGTAAATAATGAACAATTAAAGTTTATAAAGTTTGACCCAAAAAATGCTACTGAGAACTTAACTGTGGGATGGAATCCACTGCTATGGACAATTTTTGAGAATCCACCCAAACTCCACGGGGTGAGGAATGTGTCCTTTCTTCTCTGATTCATAGAGGATATCATTAAAATCGCTTATCATCATCCACGATCTATTATTGTGAGCTGCCAACTCTCCGATCAAGGGCCACGATTCCCGGGGTTGATGAGTCTTCGGAAAACCATAAAATTCGGTTAATCTTCACGCATGTTCATTCAGATTCAGTCGAACCAAACAACCAATATACCTCATGTCATCCTTGATGATCTCGACCTCCACCTCATCTCGCCATCCCAAGACCAGTGTGTCGCTCATGCCATCACTATCCACGCCATGACTGTTATGGAAACCCAGAGCTCGAACAATCCTTCGCCCTTTGACACCAGATCTCCATTTCCATCAGAAAGATAATGGACGGTTTTTATGCTTGCCACATATCTGCAAAACATTGAATGGTGCCCGCCGGATTTCCCAGCCTCGACATATGATCATGGTGCTAACATAACTTTTTATATAAAGTTTGAAGTGTCTATACTAACGCAGGTTTCAGATATTTATCTCACACTATTTCAAAGTTTGAGTTATTTAAATTACTTCCTCCTCCAATTAATTAGTGAAAACAATACTTTTTAAGAAGGTATATGTATTTAAATTTTTTAATAGTTTTAATTAAAAGTACTGTTGGAAAACGTTTTGTGAAACACATAACTGATTTTTTTAAAGAATTTAAAAAGCCTTTAGAAAACAATTTATATAATTTTAAGAAAAAAGTTATTCTAGATAAGAGTAAAAATCGATAAAATGCACAAACACGAATACATATTTCTTATTTCACATAATTACATATTTATAATTAAAATAAAGATTGTTTACAAATATGTGACTACTAAGTAGAGTAGTAATAAAATCATAGTAACTCTTGTTCAATTTTTGAACTTAAGTCACCATGACACTACATTGTAGTAAATGTTAATCATATTTGTGTAAACAAGTTTTATTTTAATAAAAAACCCTTCTTATTTTCGTTAAGAGAGGTTATTTGGTTCTATTCAAAATACAAAACTTCTCGAATTAAGTACGTGTAAATGGCTAAATGTACTATATTAAAAGAAAAACAACAACCATAATCGTATTTAAGAAAGTTTTCAAATATTTTCACAAATAGTGAAGTCACAAGTCACTCATGACATCACTGATCCACTCAACATTAAAAGTCTTCTTCGTGTTTCGGACTATGTTTCCGGACCTGGTCATATTCGCGAACTTCCCTGAAAACCATCCAAGTGCATCCAACTAACACCCAGGGGCAAATGGGTGATAATTTAAGAATGAAGGGCACGTTTATAATTTCGCAAATTATTTCCCACGTTAAATATTTCCTCAGCGGTGTATAGTCGCTACACTGCTTCCACCGATCAATTGTCGTTTCATCGGACCGTGTAAAACACAGTGCATCGGAAAATGGCCGGGAAAAGTACGATTCTGATCATCGGAGCTACCGGTTACATCGGAAAGTACATCGCCGAGGCGGGTCCCAAGGCCGGACATCCCACATTCGCCCTGATCAGAGCATCCACTCTCTCAAACCCCGACAAGTCCCAAGTCGTCGAGAGATTGAAGAATGCCGGCGTTAATTTCATCACCGTCCGTACTCGTGGATCGTAATTAATTTATTTTACGGGATTAGTGAATGCTTAATTTGATATGAAATTGCGAATTTGCAGGGTGATTTGTACGATCATGAGAGTTTGGTGAAGGCGATAAAGCAAGTGGATGTGGTAATTTCAACGGTGGGTCACTTCCAATTGGCTGATCAGCATAAGATCATTGCTGCTATAAAAGAAGCTGGAAACGTCAAGGTAATTAAATAATTTCAGCTGCCATTTAACCTTTGTTCATCTGGTAAATAATATCACCCCCGTCATTTTAAATAAACTTCAGTATAAACTCATTGAATTTAAATGAATTCAAACTTATATTAAGGATTTAAGGTTATATGGTAACAATCAGATTATCTTCAGGGAGTAGTACAAGAGTGTTTGAACTAAGATTAAGCTATAATTTCCTTTTAATGAAAGTAACAATTTTTTGGTAGTTTTTTGTCTCCAATCGCACAAACTTTGGTAACTTCGTTATCTGATCGTTACCGGTGGTCGTAGCTCAACTGGTAGATATGGGGTGTCACAAGGGAAGTCTCGAGTTCAAATCTCGACAATTGCGATAAGAGGTTATAATGCTAAAATGCATAGCAAGTACCAGGGTCAGAGCTCCACTCTCTATCGATCTAACTGTCGTGTTGCTGTTGGAGCCCTCAAGGATGCGATGTCATCCTTTTTTTTCATGATCAGATCGGTGGAGAACGGGAGATACGAGAGCACCGAGGATTATTTGACATTAGTTCGTGTTTGCCTAGTCAAGAAAATATTACTCCTCGATCCCCAAATTATCTTCATTCTTTTCTTTTTCATCCGTCTTGATATATGATATAAGGTCTTAACAACTTCGTTTTCCTTTTATGACAAATAATTTGTGATTCACGCGGAATGTTCTTAGTTTCTCTCTTTTCCGCACAACTTTAAGTCAATATTTCTGGCTCTTTTAATTCCGTATAAAGCCAAAAAAGGAGTTTAATTAGAGATGGAGCACTCATAGTAACAGTAAATGATGTTTGCATGGCAGAGGTTTTTTCCATCAGAGTTTGGGGTTGATGTTGACCGGGTAAATGCAGTGGAGCCAGCGAAATCAGCATTTCAGGTCAAATCTGCCCTTCGTCGCGCCATTGAAGCTGAAGGAATACCCCACACTTTTGTGGCCAATTTCTTCTTTGCCAACTACTTTCTTCCAAATTTGGCTCAGCCTGGTTCTACCTCTCCCCCTACAGAGAAGGTTGTCATTCTTGGGGATGGCACACCGAAAGGCAAGTTGCCACGCTTCTCCACGTATTATAAGTCTGTACTACCTCCGTCTCATATTCAATTGTCATTGTTTTAGTTTGACACAATTATTAATAAAGTGATTGAAAAGTATAAGTTGTGGTTGAGATTTGAGTAGAATAAAGTGAAATAATAAAAACAACACATTTCTTGCCAAAAAGGGAAACATGACATTCATTTTGGAAATCTGAACAACCTAAAAAGGAAAGTAGGACAACCAAAATGGGACGGAGGGAGTAATTTTTTGTTCAAAAAAAAAATTTACTTTGATTAGCGTATATAGAATATTTATTTTAAAGTACTACACACAAAAATTGCGCAATTTCAATGAGAACATAACATACATTATGTAATTGAAGTGTTCCAAATAAAAAAAAAAATGTGTGATACATCTAATGCTTAAGTTATATCTAACTAGAACAAAATTTACCTGATTAAAAAAACTGGCTAAAACGTTATGAGTTTATTCGCTGTTAAAAGATCTAACCATTTTTGTCTTGCTTAACTACATTAGTCTTAGGGAAGAGAGGGAAGAGAGTATTTGTTATGGTCTTGGTATCTTACTAAGTGATTGTGATACTTTACAGCTGTTTTCAACAAAGAAGAAGATATAGCTTCATATACCATCAAGGCGGTGGATGATCCAAGGACTTTGAACAAAATCCTTTATGTTAGGCCTCCAAAAAACACAATTTCCTTCAATGACATTGTTTCCATCTATGAGAAGAAGATTGGCAAAACTCTTGAAAAGGAATATGTTCCTGAAGAACAAGTTCTCAAGAACATTAAAGGTCAGTGTTTTTACCATGTGTTTTTAATTGAAACATGGTAACTAGAGTACATTTATTCATATCAAAAGTTTATATATGACATCAAAGTATAAAAAGTGTATATATGTACATCAATTTTAACACTTAATTTGCACCCCCAATGTGCATTTACAATTTTGCCTTTGTGTTGTTTGATAAAACTATAAAGGGCTTAGTAATCAAACTATTTATATGTAATTGAGGACTCAAAATTATTCTCATTTTTTTTAAGAAAAGGCTTGTTTCCTTTGAACTCTCACCTATGTATATGTGTGTTGCAGAAGCTGGATTGCCATTGAATGTTGGACTGTCTATTAGCCACTCTGCATTTGTGAAGGGAGACCATAGTAACTTCGAAATCGAATCATCTTTCGGGGTGGAGGCATCGGAGCTTTATCCCGATGTCAACTATACAACCGTGGAAGAGTTCATCAACAATTATGTCTGAGATAGATAATTGCATGCCGACTAGTTTGTAGTAGGGCCATCCCCATATATATATATATATATATATATATATATATATATATATATGTGTGTGTGTGTGTATGTGATGTGTGTTTGTTGCTGCTATATATGGCTTACTAGTTTCTTGTTTCAAAGTCCAAGTCCCGGCCAACTACTTTAATTTTCCCTTATAATATCTACTTTCATTATCAGGCAAGTGTTGCAGTGTTTGTATGGATTATTGGCCATGTTATAAAGTAATAATATCAATTTCATTAGCGTTTTGAATCTTCAAATTTCTTTAAGTTCTATATCTTATACAGTTATACCTAAGATCTCCATTTTCCTTCGGAATCTTGATAGAAGAGCTATATTAATTAGGGGTTGTTATTGTACTTCTGTGAGTATCAACACTCCAGTTCTAAATATTTCTGTGAGTAAGCACTTCACATAATTTAATAGTGTTTGTAGCGGTTGGAAAAGGTCATGAATTTTAGAGTTCTTTTTTTGCTTTCTAGGTATTGAAATTTCTTGATTTGGCCCCACCTTTTCAAATTTCCCAACCATCTAGACTTTCAGCTAGGTTTACTAAACTATCCAAACTCAATGCAAGCAACTAGAGGAACTAACTTGAAAATTATTAGTTAGATCAAGTAAGCAATTCACTTATCTTAGTTATCTATAGCTTATGTATTGATACATTTTTGCTACCTCCCTTCTTTGTCGGTTACTCGGTTAAAGGAACATGTAAATCTTCATCTTCTTTATTCTTTTCTCACTTGCTATTCAGTACGTAGTACAAAGTATTAGTTAATCTCCAAAATATACAAAAACTAATTTCTAACGGTTTGCACATGCTCTTCTCATGTACAAAACGGGTGGTAGATGTAAGGCTATTTGTAGTGGTAGAGTTTTAGGAGTCTATATTTGTTGGATAATTGATACCCATATCCTATAACTAAGTAGAGATTGAACAATAATCAAGAAGAGTAATGGAGAAGAAGATAAGTGTGTATAGAATCAATATTGGTCGTGGTGCAATAGCCTCCTATAAGGAGTATATATAGGGAAAATTCGGGTTTGGGCCTCTACGATGGGCCTGACAGACCCGGTTACATAAATGAACTGATAGTACAAAAAACTAATCTAGAACAACTGAATAATAATAATAATGTACAATAATATGAATGATATCCGTTAAACGTGTGTGAGCCGTTGTCCAGGCCTTATAGTCGGCAGACCGAGGGTTGGAGTCCATATACTCCATCAATGTTAATGTTAAATTTGGAAATTTTGGAGTCCTAATACTCTGTAGTGGTAGGTTAAAAAGAGGGTTAAATGTGGTAGATGGAGTTAAAAATGCAATGTGTTTTGAGAGAGTGGAAAGAAAAGGGAAAAGAAAAAACCAAGCTTTGTCTGCCGTGGTGCGGATGAGAATTTTTTTACAACGTTTACAACTTTTTTTTATCCAAATTTTTCAAAAAATATATCGAAATTTGTGAATTTTTATGATCTTTCATCTGACGCCAATATGTAATATATAAAATGAAAAACAGAATCTGAAGTTATAAATGTTTAAATTTTCTTGATCCTAAAATAACAAGAAACACAAAATTTTAATTCATGGATCCTCCACAAGTAACTTAATATTTCACAATCGAACTTTACTTGAAAAGTAAGTTCATTTTTTGTTAACCCTAAAATGTTAAAAAAAATAATGAAATTTATTTATTTTACATCGAAATGTATATTTTTTATTTCATAATTATTCAGAGAAAAAAATAAAAATGAAAACATTACTTATAATAATTTAATTAATGTTTTACTAAATTGATATTTAAAAAATATGAAAAATGTATTTTATTGACGGTGCTGAAATGTAGGAAAATAGGAGTCCATGTTTTATATATTTACTTCCACACCACTCAGAATGATCTACACGGCCTTTAATTTCAACGCTCACTCCATGTGAGTAATGATATGGTTATTCACGTGTTTTAATTTAGTACTTTTCTTTCATTGATTTTTTATTTATAGGTCATTATTTTAAGGCGATATGTTATCGATCGTGATTGAGTTTGTAATTACAAAAAATTCAAAAACCTATTTACATGAATTCTCGATTCCTTGAACTCCATTTTTGGTAAATTGTTATAGATAGTCAAATTGCATTATATCATGATTTTTATGAGTTCGTCTGGATGACAATTTTTGTCGGTGATTTTAGTGTCACCGGCCGTTTTATGTAATTGGAAATGACATGAGTGCCAATGAGGATTAGAACCGTGTTCTAATACAAGCTAGGAGGTGTGTAGTGCACACTTATATATAAGAACGAGTTATATTCCAAAGTGTCTACGGCAGTGGAACTCGAGGTAGAACACTCAGTAGACCAACTCTGTGGTTCTAGACCGAGGTTTAGAGCGGTTAGGCAGTTTCGTGCAGTTTTTCCAAAAACTGTCACAGTTATTCCAAAACGTGTTGCAACTGTCTGGGACGTGTAATATGGATATATCAACATATTTCGTACAGAGAAGCTGGAGTAGAGATATACAACATATCTTGATCACTTTTGGCATTCAATTTAAGATATGAATCCATATACTCACTAGTTTGGCTCTAGTTCTTGTGCCTAAGTTCTACAGTGTCCTTAAGAATTATCCTAGATTGAATTTCTTGTAACCCAGGCATAGGGGAGAAATAACAATTCGAAAAGTGAACTTACACGATCCTTAAGCAATCCAAGTACTCGATTATCACCCCCTACGTTAATACCCCAACAATTTTTGCATTTTTATTGATGGTTAATTCTATTTCATCAAAACTCCAAGTAGGGTAGAAATGTAGAATTGCCATCTAACAAAAAATTGGAAAATGTGTAAACAACACTTCATAGTTATAAGTGTTGCTTTATTGGAATAACAACACATACGGAGTAGTTTTAAGGATATTTTTACTCATATTAATGCGCATCCTTGATTGAAATGAGACTCGAACCTGCGATCTCCTCCTTTTTAGGAGATCAGCAGCGATGCCATCAAATCACAAAGTAATTGGCTACGAAATAGTTTTCATATTTTCCTATATTGAAAGTGTCACATTAAAGATTTGAAAATTTAGAAATATTAAAGCAATGATTACATTGTTTTGAGGATATTTTTACTTAGACTGTTTTCAGTACCAGATCAAACCAGACCAGACTTAAACAGACTAAATCAGACCATACCAGTCCAGACCAGGCTTCTAATGTTATAAAATACACAAAGACTAGACATTTACCTGACCAGACCAGATCACATCGTCAAACTCTTATAAAGATGATTTGTTGATTCTTTTATGGTAGTTAAATTAGATGTGATGTTGAATAAAAAGGACTACTGTCTACTGACTTCATAAATCAAGAAAAAAGTTTTGAGATAGCTGAAGAACAATAACGTAACAATTTAAGCTTTTTTAGCAAATTAAGAGCATATTGGTTTTAAAACGAACTTCACAATTTGTGTATTTATGGCATTACAAGTTTAAGCTGTGAAAGTTTAATCGAAAGAGGAATGCTTTAAAAATTCTCAACCGCTCTTGGTCTTTGTAACCTAGTATGAGTGATAATTTTGTTACCTTGATTCTATTAAAGGCCTATAAAGAATTCTTTGGATTCAGTCTGGAAAAAAACTGTTTAGACATCATTCAATTCTATTAAAAATAAGTACCACAAAGTTGTTAAAGTCATATTTTTAGATCAAATTAGTATACAAATTTAAAAATTGAATCAGTGAATCGAATAATAAATAGTTTCTTATTATTTATTATTGTGAAACTCTTGTTGTACTTATAACTTTTTTCACTATAAATATATTTGTCAGGACTACCATTAAGGTTATGCCTGATATTATTCTCATATGGTATCAGTATCCACGTACTGAAGTTGAATATAGAGTCGTAGCTTTTATTGTTCAGAATACTCCTCTCATACGCTCAGCGTTGTTCGAGTTGGGCTTTCATGTCCGAGTTCCAACTACTTTATTTTGGGATAATGTATCTGCTTCATATCTCTTAGTTAATCTCATTTAGCAATGCTAGGAGTAAGCATATTAACATTGATTATCATTTTGTTCGTGAGCGGGTGGCCCATGGTGATCTCCATGTTAAGTATATATGTTCCCACACAGGCTTAGCTCACAATTTTTTTTATCAAGGGTTTGTCGCCACAACGATTTACTCTTCTTCGTGACATTCTGCGCATGGTTTCCACTACATTATTTACTAGCTTTCAAGCCTGTGCGATGCACGGGCAGTATGTAATTTAGCTAATTTGAAATTTAATTTCTATCAGATCACATATAATGTGATTTAAAAGAAAAATAAACTTAGTCTAATATAGAGTCTGTTTGATAATACTATGGTAAATAGAATTAACTTATTTTGCTGAAATTGATTGAATTCTGGTTAAATAGGCAGAATTTTTCTGAATCGTGAAAAATATATGTGAAATACATTCCATTTGTGAAACCAAGAAAAAAATATATGATAAAAAAAGTTAAATTGGTCTTCTACATAAGCATATCAAGTAAACATAATTGTTATGAACCCAATAATAAAAAAATCTATATTTCTAAATTGTTAGATCTTACAGATTACTCATTAATAAGAACGTTTTTAATTGAATTAAAATTTCGGGTTTGATTTGGTATGCATTAATATGGTCTATTAGATGTCTGTTTTTTATGTGACTTATTGTTATAATTATTAAAGTTTGATCTGATCTGATTTAATCTGGAACTGAAATCAATCCAATTAAAAACATTCTATTAAAATAAAAGTAGGAATTCGTGAACCTATTAAGATTTTCTAATTTGGATTAGGAATCTATTTCACAAGTGAAGACATATTTGAATTTGAGGTGTAAAATAAAGAAACAACAATTTTTTTTTACTTATTTGGCTAAGCTAAACATATTTACTTGTGAAAATATATATACTTTATGTTGGTTATAATTTTTAATTTCATTTTTAATTATTTACTTATTTGAAGCTTACTAATTTATTAATAGGTGTCAGATCAAATTAATAAGTAAACTAATTTGCATATTTGTTTCTATTTAATTCGGTGTAGTAAACTAATATAAATTAGTTTCCATATCAATAAACGTTATTAGAATTTGACTTTGATAACCAAAAATTATTTTACTTATTTGAAGTTTACCAAATTAATTAAGGTGGATTTATATGGATTTTTATTTCCATATCAATATGCAATCAAAAATAGAATCTAATAAAATAAAAAGGTATAAAAATAAG